CTGCTGCACACCCCCTACCCATGATCAAGTCCACAACCCACACATGTGCCCAAACTAGGAATCAAACCTGCATCCCTTTGGTGTACAACAAGCATGTCAAACTCAAAGGCTAACACGGGCCAAATAAATGAGGCATGCGGCCCACAGGCCGTGAGTTTGACGTGCCTAGTACAAGATGATGCCCAACCCACTGAGCCACAGGGCTTAATTATCTCTTTAACGGTCCTATCTCCAAATTTAGTCACGTTGAGGCACCAGGGATTAGGGCTTCAGCCTGAATTTTACAAGGACATACTTCAGTCCATGACACCTGTGTTTCCAGATTTGGTGGCTACCCTGTAGATATGGAAAAACAGTGGGATAAGTTCTATGATAGGACTCTGGAAGCGTTCACTTTAGAAACAATGCTAACCTGTATGGATGGGCTAGTCCCTTTGGGTGCTCGAGTTAGGATGTTGCATCTCATAGGACAGCCTCGTAGCATGTAGACACAGCCTCGGAAACACAAATGCTGCTTTCCCGGCAGCGTGATGACATTTATGCTGTGTCTCAACCTAGAGCATTTGCAGAGTTTTCAGAGTGATGGATGATCTGTCCTAACTCAGGGCCCCATCCCTTGCTGTGTGTTCACCGGAGGCTGTCACCTTCCCTGCCTCATCCCAGTGAACCCCTAAGGCACCTTGGATGGAAAGCCCCATGTGACCTGCCTGTTGGCTGCTGTTGATGCAATGGTGTATAATTCAGCAGTCATTTATATGCCACACAGGTCTGAGCAAAGCTGGAAAGTGCTCTCAGGAGCCAAATGCTACTGAGGCTTTTAATCTAAGCACAGGAAGGGTTTAGTAGACATCAGCTTTTGGGGATGCAGACACTGCTGGTGGAGGAAAAGAAATCTTTCTGTTTGCTGACTTTGCTTGTTTCTGGTTTCAAGGGGGAGAAACTGATGGAGGAGTGTCTTAGGGAGAACACAGGCTGCTGCTTCTCAGAGGTCCCCGACTTGCAGATCCACAAGGGGACAGACAGCTCTGTAGCCAACTGTGGGTTCGGGTCAGAACAGGGGTCCTCTGGCCACGAAGCAACAAGGCAACATGCAAGGGTCAGGGATACACACACGTTGTTCCTCATTTCAAGAGCAAAAAATAATGTCACACGGGTGGATTCCCAGCCCTGGAAAGCTGCAGAAATTATACTCCAGTAAAGATTTGGGCTCGACTTGGTCACTTAAGGAGAAGTTATTCGGCAAAACGCCTGTGCACACAATCTGTAAGTGCCCCGGATTCTTGTGAGAACCTTCACCAGGGCCTCGGTTGCCTAGGCGATGGCTTCTTGAATTAGTAAGAGCATTTCTGCTGGAGCCTGAGGCCTCGGTTCTGCTGCCATTTCTCTGCAGTGCCCATTCATATGGCATTACTGCCCTGGCTGCTCTGAAGTGGGTGAGGGCGTGTGGTCTCCCGCCCCTTCCTGTGGAGACTGATAGGCAGCAACCACACAAGTCCTGTCCTGTCCATCTTACACCTGCACTTGGTGCCCAGGAGTGGGCTGAGCAGGACTCTGACTACCAGCTTAACCATATCTTGGTGCTGGGATGGGTCCCTTCTGGTGGCTGATTGAGTGTTCCCTGGTAACATTTCAATGTTGCTAAAGAATTAGCTGCCCCAAAACAATGCTACCACAGTCTGGCATTTCTTGACATTAGCAACACATCCCTGGGTCCACGTTTCTGTGCTCCCACTGGGCTAAGGCATGATGGTTTCTTTAACTTGCAAGCAAAGGGTTCATCATGTCACCATCACAGTGTTGCCGATTAGTGGAGAGCAGAGCTGTGCAGGAACCTGTGGGAAGAGTGACCAAGGTGTTCCATGTGACCCAAGACACACCTGCCACCCCCCACCAACTCCCAGGCATCCTGGGATGGTTGATCCCCCTCCTAGGGAAGCAAGATTATGAAAGAATAAAAGAAGTCAGGGGCTCAAGGGAATCGGGTTTGTGAGAATAGCTTGGGGCATCTGTGGCTAGCCAGGGAGTACCTGAAGCATACTGTCCCGGGGTGCAGGGGACACGTACTCGTGGAGTATATGATTTCAGATATAACCCTGTGACTCATATACTGGTAGCAGTTCTAGGCAGAGAAGGGGGCGAAGATGCCAGAAAGAGCGGGGAGGAAGGGGGGCGGGGCTTTCAAATCTGAAAAGACAAAAGGCGACTGAGAAGCCCTCCAGGGACAGAGCAGCGTCTAGGGAGCTGGGACCGGTCCTGGGCCAGAGCACAGCTTGGAAACCGAGGGCAGATATATCCAGGAAGGAGGAAGTTGTCAAACGGCCAAGAAGCTAAAACGAGGGGGGAAACTGGAATCTAATATTTGGCAACCTGTGAAACACTAATTAGAAATGGCAGCATGCGAAAGGTGGGTGGATGAGGAAGCTGGGTGTTGGAACACGGAGCCGGCAGTCTGGTCATGAAAACCGTTTCCTCCCTCTCACCCTCACTGGAGACTCAGCTGTGCCTGGCATGGAGGGGGCAGGGCAGGGGACAGAGGGTGGGCAGCATCCCGAGACACTGCAGAGCCCTCTCCTTTTCCAGGCAGATGCTGGCAGGACACGCTGAGAGGAGTGGCCAGGGTGGTCATGCAAGGAAGCGAGTGTCATGCTTGGACGTGCAGAAGGGGCACTTAGGTTGGCACACTTTGTTATACCCATTGGCCCTTTCCACTCACAGATGGACTTTGCAAGTAGGGATACTTGATGGGCCTGGAGGGCACTGTTCCTTGATGGCAGAGAGTCTTATTAGCACAAGCTGCACGGGGTGGTGCCATCTTTCCTAACTGGACTTCCTGAGCTCTCTGAGTCCATGTGAATGCCCGTCCTGGCACAGAGTGAATAATTATAATTAGATTTCGTTTCTCACTCCTGGCAGCTGCAACTGACTGGTTGGGGCTGGCTGCCCAGAGAGCTGGGCTGAGTAGGAGTCTGAGGCCCCTTCCAGAACCAGCAGGAATGAGGGTTGAGATTGCTTTGTCCTTTCTGCCAAAGGTGTGGACTTGCCACTAATGAATGCCATCGGACTTGGCTGTCCGAAGCATAGTTCTGTAATGACATACCTTGAGGTCCCCTTTACATTACAAATGGACCAGGCCTGCGCCTCTCAAAAATGTTTAAATCACTGGACTCCTTGCTTCAGATGAAATTTCACATGGAAACAGACCACAGCAGGGCTATTATGGCCAAAGAGAGGAGAGAGGGCTGGGAGCTTCGTCTGCTCCCTCTTGCTCCTGAGACACCTCTATGGAACACAGTTTGGGAGAAGAAGGCTGGGGAGGATATCTCTGCGAGGGTGGTATTTGAGTTGAGACCTGACAAGAGCTAGTTGAAGGCCATTTCGGGCAAGGGAATAACAAGTGCAAAGTCCCTGGGGTGGGTACAAGTTGAGCTTGTTTCAGACACAGAATTTTGTGTGGCTAGAGTGCAGAGAATGGCCATGGGGGGTGGGGGGGGTGAAGGTCAAGGTAAGGTTCGCTCAAGTAAAGCTATACAAGCAGGGTAAGGGGTCTGGGTTTAATGCTGAGTGTGATAAGAAGCTATTTGGGGTCAGGGAGGCAAAAATAGAAGGCAGGACAGCCGTTATTTATCCTAGTAGTGATGTGAGAAATGACTGGGATGGCAGCTGTAAGCATTTCAGAAGTTGGAGGTGCCGTGGTATGTGGGCTCGCCTTCTCACCTCAGGCACAGGGACCCAGGACGACAGGCCTCTGAGGTTAAAGGAGACCAGGTGAGCACCCTGTCTGCATATCGCCTGCAGAATTCCTGTTCCACCTTCAAGTCCCTATGTCCCGGGGAAACCTTCCCCGGCTCAGCATGACGGTCCCTATAAGAGTTGACTCTCACCACTTATTCCTGGGTATTGTGCCTCTTTCCCTAGAGACCACTGGGTGCAGGAGGACCTCACGGTCTCTGCTCTTGCTCCCTGATCTCACCAATGAGTGGACTGAGGGTTCAGAGCTCCACTAAGCTCATCTCTTGATCCCCACTCTGGTGTTGTTTTCACTTCATCCACAACTTTTCACTCATGAAATCCCCATATTCCCAGCTAGATTATAAGCTTTCTCTTCATCTTTTTATTGGAGGTTTCATTAAAGATTTTTCCTCTTCTTTGATCTCCCTTGCATCTAGCATAATGTTGGGCACAAACAGACGCTCACCAAATATGTGCTGGCTAGCTGCTCTGCACCTCATGGAGTTCCCTCCGTCCCATCACGGTTAGTCTGCCTCCCCACACGAGACCTGACAGCACTCAGCCTGAGTAATATTTTTTTAAAGGGAGGTCCCAACATGAAGTAAATGTTTAAAATGCCTCAAAAGGCAAAGTAGAAAAGGTAACATATGCAAAGCAGACTATGGGTCTTCATGGTGAGAAGTTGTGGACCGACTTTCCTGAGGTCGTTGGTTCCTCTGCTACAGAATTGGTGTGCTCCAGGGAGCACGTTTTCCTACAGGAAACAGGAAGGGGTTTCCAGGATTTGGCTGACCTGCTGGTGAATAAACTCAAGGAAAACCCAATATTGTAGTAAGACATTATTTATAGAAAGAAAAGAATAAAGATATTTTTCTCTTTAAAGAAATAGCAAATGGGGTGTTTTCTTCTGTGTCTCCAAAAACAGTGTGTTTTTAAATGCTTCAGAAACGTGAACTGAATGCTTTCAGCCTCACTCCATCCTACACAAAACTCTACAGTGATATCACTAAGTATTTTTGCAAAAGAGATGCTTCCGGAGTTTATCCAACACTGGACAATTATTGGGGAGCAAGGAAGCTTCGATTCCTTAATAGTATTCTCTTCTCCATGAGTATTTCTCGATATATACTTGTTACCTGAACCTTTTCTTTTTTTTCTTGCTCAAGAAAATCAACACTGTAATAATCCTCACTTCTCTCTTTCTCTCTCCCTCTCCTCTTCCCTTTCCTTCTCCATTCCTCCCACCCCCTATGTCTTCCCTTGTCCTTCAGGAACCTTCTGCATCATATCACTGTGCACCTGTGTGGCCGGGATCAACTTTGAGCTGTCACGATACCCTCGCTACCTGTATGGACTCCCCGATGACATCAGCCATGGCTATGGATGGTCCATGTTCTGTGCGTGGGGGGGCCTGGGCCTCACACTCATCTCCGGGTTCTTCTGTACCTTGGCCCCTTCTGTCCAACCTGTCCCGAGGACCAACTGCCCTAAATCCAGACCCGAGAATGGGACAGTGTGCTAAAAACAAAACCCCATACATATATATATATATATATAAATATATATATAATATACATATATAAAACAAAACTAAATCCCGATGAGGCCAGTGCCAAGGCAGAGTTGGAGGAGGCTCAGGCACCGAATCTCGTCGGATGTTGTGTGTGTTGCCTCATCACTGAGATGGGGAAGGCGTTCCCACCACGTGGCTCTTCCATCAATTCTTAACTTTTGGTTCCATGGTTCCCTGGAGACAGAGTGAACACCACCACTCAAGACAGCACCCCTGTCCCCGTCTCTCATGAGGACGGGGTGGTGGGCTGGGAAGGGACAGAGCCAGGGGCTAGAGAGACACCACTGTAGGGAAGGAAGTGCCACCCACCAGGCCAGTCACCCCAACACTGATCATATCACAGAGAAGCAACACCCTTATTCACAGAATGTCACCAAACCTTCGAGGCCATGGCAGAACCACTCCTCCTGCTGCTCTTCCTGTCCTGGTCCTCTCCGGCGCACCAGTGACACACCAGAAGTGGAGGAGAGAACAAAGCAAGAAGGGAGTTTTCTCTTTGCTGCCAAACTTTCGGACAAAGTTCTAGAGGTGGGAAGGGGGAGAGAACCACCTGCTGAGAGGCAAGATCTGCATCAATGAGAGGACACTTCAGCGGATGCTCAGAAAACCCAGTCTTACCTTCCAGCTGCCTTACACCGAGTTCAATAAGAGGCTGCCCTGCCCCAACCCCACCTGCACTCCCTGGGCAGCCGGAGCCTTGGAGTGATGCTGTGATGTGTGTGTGTGTGTGTGTGTGTGTGTGTGTGTGTGTGTGTGTGTGAGAGAGAGAGAGAGAGAGAGAGAGAGAGAGAGAGAGAGAGAGGGAAACTACTTTGGATGGTTCCCTTCCCCCCCCCCCACCTTTAAAAATGGAAATACTGCATTCTGACTGTTGTCTCTCTATCCATTGGGATGGTTTCAAAGCCCAGAGGCCAGGAAGATAAGAGGGGCAGGCCCATGTGGGTGCCAGTTCTGCAGCTTTTGGTCCCTGGCGTGTGTGTGTGTGTGTGTGTGTGTGTGTGTGTCTGTGTGTGTGGTAGGTGTTTGCTGAGTGTGAGTTTTGTCGTGCGTGTTGCATTTTTCTATTATTTTTAGTGCAGCTGACATTCCCAGAGGGCAGAACCGAGACCACCACCACCGGGCCAAGGACCCTGTGCGTCTTCTCACCCTGGTCCTTGGACACCCCTGGCCCTAGTCCCCTCATTTCAGAAGTTCACGACTCATCTGGGCACAGGAGCTCTGAGCAAAGAGGGGGACACGGTTCAAGAGGGAGGAGGAACGTGCCCTCCGCTGCTGTTGCACAAGTCTGTCCACCGAACAAGACCGTTTGCTCCCCAGCCTGGAAGCTGTCCTTCGTCACTGGACATCGACTATTCCCCTCGCGGCGACTTCTGTACAGATGAAAGAAAATGGGTCATGTGCAGGGAGAGCGCCTCCATGTCCCATGGGCTCCAGTTTGTATGATATTGTATAAATTAATGGAGAACTCATGACTCTTCCCAACCTTTTCCTTTCCCTCTTGATAGTCAAGGCCATGAATCCCCAAATAGCTGTCACGGTGGCCAGCACCCAAACAGAGGTGGCCTAGATCCAGACAGTGTTCCAGGCTCACTTGAGCCCATTGGCACACTGCAGAGGATGGGCCACCACGTCAGCTTTAGGGGAGGATTCCGCCAGATGGAGCGGGCAGGAGCGGCTGGCAGCCACCTCAGTGACCCTGCTGGGGCAGGGCAGCCCTGGGGAGTCCAGCAGAGTATCCCCGAGCTCCGCAGCCATGGGTCAGCCATGCAGCTGAGAATTCCGTTGCTTCGAAAATAATGCTTTGGAATGTTGCCAACCACTCAGCAGCCTTCCTTCCCATCCAGGCACTCTGTTTCATCGATCTTCCTCCACCTTTTCTCACCTACTCCTCGCTTAGCATCTGCCTCTCCCATCCGCTAGTCTTGCCTGTCTTCTCATCTGCTCTTTTTGACTGTGTGTGTATGTAACTCACATATGGATAGGACATGTGGTGCGCATGAATGGGCCTGAATGTGGGTCTCAGGATGTGTGGTTCTCTCTGGTGCATTTGTGTATGTTTGTGCCAATATGTATCTGACACAGGTGTGGGTGTACACTTTAAGACTTCCTTGCCAGCAACACTGATCAGCTTCTGCAAAAGGTCCTGGGTGTGAGTGCCCTGTGCATGGGCGTGCTGGGCAATGAGGGGTGAGAGGTGTAGTGAGAAACGCTGTTAATTTCCAACTCAGCTTCTAATGATTGTTCCTTAAGAGAGGATTTGTTCTACAAGAAGGGAAATAATTTTCAGGAAAATCCAGCTTTTGATTGTATAGGAAATTGTTTAAATTTTTTTCTTTGAAAAGTTATATTTCCCTCTTAAGGGGAAGGGCATACTTGGGCTTGAGGAAAAGTGAGGAGAAGTATCTCAGATTGAGAGGCCATTATCTTCCTTCCAAGTGTCTTGAATGGGCTCCACCAAGCAGAGAATGAATGAGTGTCCATTTGGGGCAGGTGGCTTTTGTGTGACCTGATCCAAGTTCTAGATATTTTCCAGTTGCAAGAAAATGGGGAAAGAACCAAATGGGGTGATTTGCTATCAATCATTTAAACTTTTATTTAGTAACCATGTTTGAGGATGCTGCCTCACAGACTCATCAGTATGTACTAGTATACCCTCCTTTTTTTTATGCCATGCTTGCCGAAACTATATCACCCACTATCTCCAAGTATTAATCTTTATGAGCGACCATTAACATAGCTTACTGACTCCTCCTGAAACCTTCCTGAAATATTAGGAGGACTCCTGGGAAAGAAGTACCATCAGGGCTCTCAAGTCACCAGCAGCAGCTTAGGAGCTTTGAGCTGCTGTTTTTGGCAATGGGGCCAGATATGTACAGACACACACTCTTGGGGGTCTGATCCTGCTCGGAGCCCAGAAAGTGCCCAGCCATGTGGCCAGGATATAAGGCCTTGCACAGATAGCAAGTCCTGGCCAATCAGAGAACTTCCTAAGTAACCAGCATAGAAGCTCTCTAGCTTCTATGATTAACACATGCCACTCCAAGCAGTTGAAGTTTCGTGGTATGAGGTGGAAGAGAAGGAAGAAAGGGAGGAGGAAGAAGGGGGAACCTTGACCGTAAGTCTCTTTAAGTCAGATTCTGTCAATTTCATTTGATTGTACAACCCAACTTTCTGAGGGACTTAGGGTTCTCAACTTCACTAAAGCCCAGCCCCCGGTCCAGATCAAGTTCAAATTCCTTTACAGGTGTGCATGCAAGGTCTGAGACCTTGTGTGTGTTTTGGGCTCCATGCACATTAACCTGGAGCATGGGGCCACTTCAGCTTTTATTTTCTTCCTTACCCTATGAGTTTGAGGGTTCAAAAAAGTGGGGTGTCTACTTGAAAATAGGTCCTATTTTTTTCTCCCCACGTTGATAGTTATGGTTCCTTCTTTCATTTCCTGTTCCTCTCTCTACTCACTTCTAGTTTCCTTCTGCATTAACATTGGACACTTAAAATAGTTAAAGAATTTGTCTGTAGAGAGGCTCATACTCTCCAAGCAGCCCCTTCCTTGTATGTTGTGGCTCTAGGTTTTGTAAGGAGGTCTGTGGCTCCAGGGCATCAAAGTACAAAACATCCTAACATGTGCCTGTTCCAGCTTCACCCCTAGTCTTTGAACAGCTCTACCCTTTCAACTTCAGGGATAATGAAGTCACCAAGACTCAATAACTCCACCAAATCAAGACCACACATCCATAAGCAGCACCCTGGGCCCCCTTTGGTCTATTCTCTTGCTGGGGATAAGGGAAGAAGATAGTCAAGGCTCTGAGACTAGGCTTTACATCTTAATAGTTATCCATAGTCATAGGAGGCCTAGAACGAAGTCATCACATTTTTGTGTGTGTGCTGAGTTAGTGGGAGGATATGCTGCTTTAGTCTCTGAAGTTGCTCACCCAAGTCAGATGCAGAATAATTAAATACATCACACAGAGACTTTGAGAATTGATTCTGTCTCCAACTGGCTTATTCTGAGAGCATTAATCAACTTTTTTTCAAGTATCTTGGGAGAAGGAGTGGGAAGAAATACACTCTGGTCATCTTTGGTGTGGTTTGTGGGAGATTCTTGGTTGGTTCTTTCCGCTAAGGTGAAGCCAACTTTCTGAAAGTTGGGACCAGCCACCCCAGAGGACATATCTACCCCCTTCCAGGGAAATATGATGAATCATCATGAGAGGTGATTTCATCACAGATAAGAATATTTGGTGCATACCAGCCAGGTTGACTTCTGTGCTGTCTTCCAGCTGGTATATACTTGAGTTAGGGGGCAGGTTTCTAAACAAGTCTACCTAAGCTGATGGACATAAACAATTCTGGTGTCTCTCAAAGCAGTCAACTTGGTGGGCTGTGTTTGCCCTCTTTCTGTTGATGCTGCCATGGTGCAAAATGTTTCTTAAAACATAGTTAGTTCTTAGACTACATTATAATTGGCTATTTAATCCCTCCCCTCCCCCCAAATAGTACTGCTCACTGTAGAAAATTAGAAAAATGGGAAGATTGTTCATAAGTCCATTTCTCACAAGGGTCATAGCCCCAACAAGCCCTGGTCAGTGGTTGCCTCTGGTTTGGAAGTTGGGGCTAAGAGGGTCGTCCATGGTCGCAGAACCATGCTGGTCTGTGTGGAACTGACCTTGTCTGTGTTCATGGCAGCAAGGGCACAAGGCTCCGAGCCACCAAAGATAGCAAATAGGCCTTTGACAAAGTTCAATACCAGAGCTTAGTGGCAGGCTTGGAACAGAGCTAAAAGTTTCTACTTTGGGATTTTTCTTTTCTTACTCTCTCTTTGAGTGCCATCTCAATCTAATTCTAGATGTAAGATTACAGATCTAGAGTAACTCAGTAATTAAGCTACATGTGCATAACTCAGTTACTGTAAACTTCATTTCCGCTCTGCACTAAAATGATTTGTGACTCTGGGCACTGTGTCTTCTCCATACTTGAATTTCCTCGTCCACAAAATGAGGACAGTGATAACACTTTACCTCATGGTACATTAAGGGTGACAAAGACACTGCAAAGTGATTTGCAAACATGAGGTGTCACATAAATTATGCACTGTTCAAATTGCCCTGCGGCACAGGGTCCCCGCTTGCTGAAAGGATAATGTAGAGTGAGAAGTCCTCTTGGCCGCTTGTCCATGTAAGCACATGGGAATTGGCTCAATCCTTCAGGTCCTTCGGAGGCATTGGCTCCCTAACCAGCCCATTCCCAGGTGTTCTTCCTTTTGCCCAAAGCCAATTTTGGAGACGACATCCTTAAACCCTCTTGCTTTGCCCAGGGGTGACAGAATGAGTAAACCATATGGAGCAAACAGCATATATGAGCTAACACAGCTATTAACCAACCCACAGGTCAACGCCTTATTTTCTTCTTTACTATTCTTCTAGCATTATTTCTAGCTGTACATGCCTTAGTAGGTGGGAGAAGATCAGATTCTAAAACATTTTAACGATCTGTTCGGTTTACGATTGGGAACAAGGTTAAGGAACTGGGGTTTCTCTCTTGTCAGTGGGTGAAGCTGAAGGCATCAGCAGAAGCGCATG